TATCACCCAGAAACAATCTCTTTTTTGTTTATTTGAACGAAAAATTATGGGCTATTATTTAAAACCGAACACGAAATAACGTGCATATGTGCAAGGGGTTAGACCAAATATACGTTTTACTTATTGGATTTTCAAAACATAGCTCCGCGGAAAAAATGACCACACGGAGAAGTGCTAGCAGAGCCTAATTGACTGTCCGCACCAACTGCTGTGAACTTGTCATCAACAGTCACGCAAACAGCACATTGGCTCATCGCCTGCTCTCAAGTGAGATGTAACGCTGGCGACATAAACGTCAATTCTACTTAATTAACAGCACTTCTTTCAGGAATTGTTCTATCTTTTCCTTACAGCTCCAGCTATTGCTTTTCATTTTCTTTGAGAAGTTCGAGGATCACACACATAATCCGGCCTTTCCGCATCATCCAAACAGTGAAAAGAAAATGATCACATTGCACAAATGTAAAGATGTAACAGGAACTTCTTTCGTAATGTGAAGAGTGAGTTGGGGTAAACGCCCTGTATTTCAGTTATTTCATGGTGTGTCAGCTAGTTGTGGGGGAAAATCCGAAGGTGATGCAGGTCTCAGACGTTCACCTTAATTGAAAGAAACCAGTACATACATTTAAGCTACACCCACACACATGTCTATGATCCATAGTAAATCGAAGTTCGGGACAAGTAGTATATCCGAAGTATATTTAACTTAGGGTATGAAGTCTCTCGCATGTAATCTCTTAATGAATCGGTCCAGGGCCTCGTTCCTCAAAGCGATTTTAGCGCTACAATGATCGTAAGTCTATGTTAAAGTATGGGACTTACGATCACCTTAGATCTATGATTGCTTTGAGGAACGGGGCCCAGGGCAAAAGGTGAGTGAGTGAGTATGGCTTTACGCCACTTTTAGCATTATCACGGCGGGGAATAACTGAAATGGGCTTCACACATTGTACCCATGTGGGGAATTCAACCCGGGTCTTCGGCTTGACGAGCGAACGCTTTCACTACTAGGCTACCCCACCGCCCCCCAGGACAAAAACCGTTTACTACGAGCCCTGACAAGCCGTGCTAGAAATGAAATATGGTGCAAACCGGTGTAACATATGACCTCAACTGATGCGTAAACAATGTGCCACTCATTGCAATGGTGTACTTCTTACACGTACATACATGTTCACTGATTCATCATTGTATGTGTATGCGTCATCTCTATTTTCGTAACATCTATCGGCCAATTTTCGCTTTATCTGCTGCATGACGTCATATATGTTTGAAGGGGGCGAAGTAAAAGATGTTTTTTTGTTTGGATTTATTTTCCGATACCAAGCAGAGCTCTTATTTACCGATTACAGAAAAATATCTAAATCTATAAGTTTAGAACCAGAGAATAGATGATGTATGACGTTTGTAACAAAACTGTAAAAATAATATCGAAATAAACTTAAGTGAGTGTACAATTGTAAATTATTAACGATGCCTGGGCACGCCACCAATCAGCAGTTGAACTGCATATTATTTATACAGTTAAGAGAAAACGAAACCATACCTCTCAGTTGATTTTATCATATGTTTAATTTTCAATTGAAAAGATCTTAAGTCAGCGATATTATATCCAACAAAAAAGAACTAGACTGAAGAATTCTTCTACATGGTTTTATTTTTTAAGAAAAAAAATCATTTTTTATAAAATTGAAATTGGAAGCAATACACAACAGCTGATGTCCACCTGAGACATCTTACCTTTGAAAATCAATAATAAAATCTTTCGGCACAAATACTCATTTCTAAAATGTGGCTGTGGCTGCAAATTCATTTCCTACCCCAGTCTTCATGGAACCAATTTTTTGTACACGAAAGTACTCAGCCAAAGATTACTTTTCACAATCTGTTGCAGGAATGTGTTAAATAGACATTACATTTTTGCAATGTGTTCTTTCAATTTTCCATTACCTAAGAAACAAACAAGGCGACTAAATGCACCTGGGGTCAGGCTCGGTGGCTTGATTGGTTTGCTTGTCCTCGTATCCTAATTATGCGTGGCTCGATGCTCATCATCTCAATTACTGGATTTTTTCTGATCCATACTCGATTACTCCACCGTAATTAAGCGGGATGTTATAGCTATTGTTGAGTGTTGCGTTACAAAATAAACAGAAAAAAACACAAGCTTATAGCCTTGTGCAATCGCTAGTGAAGAAACCAACACGCACTCACACACAGATGCAATTTTGTGCTTGATATTTCTTTGTAATAGTAAAGAAGTACATGGTATATCGATAGTACTGATATTTTGTCATTGCTTTTCAAACTCAAGGCGTGTATATGTTGGATTAAAGAGAACCGTCGTTTATAGGTTAATCTATTGACGTATTTTAAAAGACATCTGCTCAGATGCGCGGTGGTCAATGTAGCCTAGCAAACATCTAATCCCCATGGGTATCGCATTTGTGTCGCAAAAATAGTTATTGCTAAGTCTCTTTCTGTGAAAGTCCACATGCCACTCACTACTAATACAGACGCTAAAGCACTATGATGAAACATTGTACCAATAACACTTATGTTGTGTGGGAATTCATAATTAACTGTTAGGATAATACAATAATGTGGCTTTGCAGTTCAATACGAAAGATCTGTCTGGTAAACAGTGATGTTGGCTCAGCCTCGACTGGCCACTAAAACAATACCGTCTCGTCTGAACGCAGACTGGATACTGGTTAAATACCGTCAGATTGTCTACACGCAGACTGGATACTGGTTCAATACCGTTAGACTGTCTAGACCGCTAGACCGCCAAGACGCAGACTGAATACTTGGTTTATACCGTTATCCAGACTGGATACTGGTTCAATATCGTTTGACTGTCTAGACGCAGACTGGATAGTGGTTCAATACCGTTATACTGTCTAGACGCAGACTGGATACTGGTTCAATACCGTTATACTGACTAGGCGCAGACTGGATAGTGGTTCAATACCGTTATACTGACTAGACGCAGACTGTATACTGGTTCAATACCGTTATACTGACTAGACGCAGACTGGATACTGGTCCAATACCGTTATACTGACTAGACGCAGACTGGATACTGGTTCAATACTGTTATACTGACTAGACGCAGACTGAATACTTGGTTTATACCTTTATACCGACTAGACGCAGACTGGGTAGTGGTTCAATGCCGTTATACTGTCTACACGCAGACTGGATACTGGTTCAATACTGTTATACTGACTAGACGCAGACTGGATACGGGTTCAATACTGTTATACTGACTAGACGCAGACTGAATACTTGGTTTATACCTTTATACTGACTAGATGCAGACTGGGTAGTGGTTCAATGCCGTTATACTATCTACACACAGACTGAATACTTGCTTTATACCGTTATACTGACTAGGCGCAGACTGGATACTGGTTCAATACCTTTATACTGACTAGACGCAGACTGGATACTGGTTCAATACCGTTATACTGACTAGACACAGACTGGATAGTGGTTCAATACTGTTATACTGACTAGACGCAGACTGGATACGGGTTCAATACTGTTATACTGACTAGACGCAGACTGGGTAGTGGTTCAATGCCGTTATACTGTCTACACGCAGACTGAATACTGGTTCAATACCGTTAGACTGTCTGACGCAGACTGAATACTGGTTCAATACCGTTAGACTGTTTACACGCAGACTGAATACTGGTTCAATACCGTTATACTGACTAGACGCAGACTGAATACTGGTTCAATACCCTTATACTGACTAGACGCAGACTGAATACTGGTTCAATACCGTTAAACTGTCTAGACGCAGACTGGATACTGGTTCAATACCGTTATACTGACTTGACGCAGACTGAATACTGGTTCAATACCGTTAGACTGTCTACACGTAGACTGAATACTGGTTCAATACCGTTATACTGACTAGACGCAGACTGGATACTGTTTCAATACCTTTATACTGACTAGACGCAGACTGAATACTGGTTCAATACCGTTAGACTGTCTACACGCAGACTGAATACTGGTTCAATACCGTTATACTGACTAGACGCAGGCTGGATACTGGTTCAATACCTTTATACTGACTAGACGCAGACTGAATACTTGGTTTATACCGTTATACTGACTAGACGCAGACTGGATAGTGGTTCAATACCGTTATACTGACTTGACGCAGACTGAATACTTGGTTTATACCGTTATACTGACTAGACGCAGACTGGATAGTGTTTCAATACCGTTATACTGACTAGACGCAGACTGGATAGTGGTTCAATACCTTTATACTGACTAGACGCAGACTGAATACTTGGTTTATACCGTTATACTGACTAGACGCAGACTGGATACTGGTTCAATATCGTTATACTGACTAGACGCAGACTTGGTAGTGGTTCAATACCGTTATACTGACTAGACGCAGACTGGGTAGTGGTTCAATACCGTTATACTGACTAGACGCAGACTGGGTAGTGGTTCAATGCCGTTATACTGACTAGACGCAGACTGGATACTGGTTCAATACATTTAATCTGTCCAGACGCAGTCTTTATACTGGAACTAGCCCGCCGAGACGCCAGGCGCAGATTGGTCACAGGCATAATGTACGGTAACAGCTGTTCTCATAAACTTCAGGAGATACATGAATGAAAGAGTGCACGCTTATCTAAGAGATTCTTGTCAAGACTGAGTTCGAAATTTGGCGCCGTAAATTATTTTTTTACCTAATTACGGTCCATTGCTTGTTTGTTTGTGTTTAACGCCGCACTCAGCAACATTCCTGCTATATGACGGCAGTCTGTAAATACTCGAGTCTGGACCTGACAATCCAGTGTCATGAGTATCGATCCACGCATTTGGGATCGATGACATGCATCAACCAAGTCAGCGAGCCTGACCACCCGGTCCCGTTAGTCGCCTCTTACGACAAGTACATTATAAATATTGCGAAGGCTACTTTAAAGAATTAAATAAAAAATGACAAAACTATTGAATTTGAATAACTTTGCTCTAAAATCTCACGATTTTATTCAAGTTATTTATTTGGTTAGGCAGGAGGTATCGTTGCGCATATCTCGCCCGCGGTGACGTTCTTGATGCTGCTAGCAGTTTCAGGAGCATCGATGTGAAACACGTGACTCAGGGCTGGTGAAGAAGCTACGATGTCGACGGTAGTGTTGTCCGATTGTGCGGTGACTGTCACCACAAACACTTCCGCCATAGCTTTCAACTCATCAATGCTACTTTGCACATCTTCATCAGCGCTGGTTTTCCCGTCAGTGAAGAGAAGTACCACGTTTTCGGCGTCAGACCGATCGCCATTGGTTTCTGTGAAGACTTCAGACGTTGCTAGTTGGATGGCATCTCCGAGGAATGTGCTCCCCCCTGTGTGTGTTTGGGAATAGATGGCTGCCATGACGCTTGCCTTGTTGTCACGGTATGTATTTAAGTGGAATACGACTTCAGCTTTTCCCGAGAAAACCATGAAAGCCACGTTAGTTCCGGCAGGGCTTATGCGTATGTTGCTGATGGCATCCACCGCAAAGGTCTTCATTTTCTCATATTCACTGTGTCTGACAGAGGTAGAAATGTCCTCTATGATGAGCAGGTCCAGTACCTTTGGTTTGCATTCTGTAACATAACACATGAGATTGACGTTCATCGTTATGAACATGAGAATAAGGCCATCCGGACAAACATTAAATTAAACAAGGTAAGTGTGACGATCACATTCATAGTTCATTTTCTTGAAGACTCTTGGAGGTGACGATATACTATCTATTTTACGGCGACATGTGAACAATCAAGTCTGATTAAACATATTTCGTGATTTTCTTTTGACATTTAATATATTTGCACATTAAATTTAAGAGCAAGCCATAATCCAGTTACACAATTAACATACCACACACAACGAAAGCAAGTGTGCCGTTTGTCTGGATCCCGTTAATCTAAAAATATCTCTTCTTGGCGAGTGCCGTTTGGAATTGTTATTATTTAAAGGGAATACCATGTACCTAAGGCATTTAATCAGGAAATTTGTTAATCAGGACGATTTCACTTGGAACTACAGTTGTGTGTTGTTTGTTTATTATTTAACGCCGCACTCAGCAATGATCCAGCTCTATGCCGACGCTCTGTAAATAGGCTTAACCAGAAATTCCAGTGATTGACATAATGAGCATCGATCCACTCAATAATGATACGATGGCATACATCAACCAAGTCACCGAGTCTGATCATACGATCCTGCTAGTCGAATCTTACGACAAGCACATGGGTTGCTGAAGACATATTTTAACCCCGGATCTTTACGGGTCGGAATCACACTACCAGGATTAAAGCAATTCACTGTATACTCATGTTATTGAGACCCATGAAGATCCGGGGAAGAATAGGTCTTCAGCAACACATGCTTGCCGTAAAAGGCGACTATGCTTGTCGAAAGAGGCGACTAACAGTATCGGGTGGTCAGGCTAGCTGACTTGGTGGATGCGCGTCATCGTATCCCATTTGCGTAGATCGATGCCAATGATGTTAATCACTGGATTGTCTGGTCCAGACTGGCCATTGATTATTAATAGACGGCCGTCATATAGCTGGAATGTTGTTGAGTGCGGCGTTAAACAACAGACAAACAAACAATCTAAATAACGTTACCTGTTTCACATTCAAGTCCCCTGTAACCTTGTTGACAACTACAGGTGAACTCGCCCTTCTTCGCCTCACAAGTTCCATTATTCAGGCAGGGATTGTTGACACATGCATCTACATCTGGAATAAAGAGGTACATTTACGAATACCCGATGGGGATTCGGGTTAGAATAGGCTTCTGGTTCTCATATTAACGTCAAATTATGTAGCTGGTTTCGAGAGTATATTGTGCTTAAAAGTAAATTACTATTTACTATAAATCATTATTCAGCACTGACACCCACGGGATATATGGGTTCTGTGATATATACGCATAAATTTATAAGAGAAAAATTCCAATTTTTACTTGTCCAGAAGCGGTCACGTGACCGCCGATCAATCAGCCAGGCAGATTACTGTTTCTGCGTGGATCAAATTCCAAACATACGCATCCCCACAAGGCAATAAACATCGCGATTCGCTGACATGACAAACGATCAACAGACAGGAAATGTCATTTTGGGGAATGGGACGCGTCCTTGGTGAAGTGGTTAGAGCGTCTGTCAGGCGAGCTGAAGGTTGGTGGTTCTATCCCAATTCGCGTCAAACCAAAATACGTTAAAATATGGTACTTTTGGTTACCTTGCCTGATGATTGTCATTTAGGGGTTAAAATTCGGATTAGTCGGCGTGCAGTCTGTTGAACTGATTCTTCGTGTCTCAGTTGGCTAGCACTGTGCGAAAGTCCAGACTAGTACAAGCAGTCAAACACAAGTGCATGCACAACATAGTCTTGAAAGCGACGTTCACCCCAAATGCTGGGTTTCTCGAATCACAATGAGCAACATTTGCGACACTGACTATTTTTTGAACGCATGTACATGTACAAAGATCCGGTTTAGAATTTGTCTTCAGCAACCCATGCTTCCTGAAAATAGCGACTATGTTTGTCGTAAGATGGGACTTCAGGATCGGGTGGTCAGACTTGCTAGATGCATGTCATCGTATCCAAAAAAAGGTAGATTGATTATCATGATGGCAATCACTGGATTGCCAGGTCCAGACTCGAATATTAACTCAACGGGTCAGAAGGACCAAGGTGAGCTTATGCCATACCGTGGCGTCCGTCGTCCGTACGTCAACAATTTACCCAAACGGCCTCTTCTGAACCACTTATTGGAAATTAACTAAATTTGACTGGAAGCATCCCAAGGTTGTGGGGATTCAAATTGGAGAAATGGAGGGGCTGAATCCTACCCCCACCCCGGGGACTGAGGGGCGGGGCTCAAAGGGTAATATGCTTTAAATGACTTTTTCTCCGGACATCAGAGATGGACATCAACTATGTTTGGTTGGAAGTATTCTAATGAGGTTGGAATTCACAATCGCCACCCCCCACCCCCAAGGGACTGAAGGGCGGCGCAGAGTTCATAACCTGGACACAGTTAAGATCCCCATCGTATTAACATATGTACAATTGAGAGTATAATGAGAGGAATGCACATATGCTACCAGTGCTGGTCCTTCTTTTCATCTGTCCGGCACTCGTAAAGGAATTAGAACCTTGACCATAACATGCAAACCAATATCATCCCTACCCTATAATTAACAGATACATTGTATACATTTGTTTGTTATGAAGAGAATAATACCTTTAATATGATTTATCCTGGATCCAAACATGAAAACGGTTCAGATCTTTATGCTACATTTGTATCTAGAGAAATACACGTTCATGCTGTCAAATTTGCCATTCACCCATTTTAAAAGCTGACAGAGTCAAACTTACGAAATATTTGCAGTATTATATACATGTACAATGCATATTTATATTTTGTCATGATTGCGTATCAAGGTGAGCGATACAGGCCCTATGGGATTCGGTGTTAAACAACAAACAAACAAAAAAAAGCTTACCATAGCAGTACGAAAATGGACCGTCGGGTTTCGCGAACCTGAACACTTGTCTACCGTCGCTGCAATTCTGGGTCGGTGTAGTCATGTACGCTGCGTAACATGCAAGCAAAGGCGTAGACAGACATAACACTGCCATGTCACCTCTTATCTCTGTGAAACAGGACAACATATGAACGTGTGAACAGGAAATGTTTTAATTGTATATCTCTCTTAAAAAAAAAAATAAAAAAATGGCAAAATCTGAATTGAAATTTTCGTAATGCTTCTGCTTCTATAAAGTGCGCGGCAAATCAGCCTCTCGGTTCACTTCAGAACACATCATTCAGCGATACTGGAACTGGAATCAAATTGTATTACGACTCCTTTATCAGTCGATGGTGCGAAAGGAAGACATCGCCATATTTATTACAAACTTGCTGATGAATAATAATAATAACCGTTTCAGTCACCAGAAAAGAAACCTTTAGTACATGCTTATGAAAAGGTATATTTAGCATTTTCTTCTCACTCACAGTGTTAAGTAAAAGTGGAGACACCAGGTTTACACAAAACATAAGAACATAAAGGGTAAACACGGTCGTACTTGATACAAAGGGTATTAGAGAACATCACCCAACTTGATAGAATTAAAATGAATAAACACTGTCTCTATTTCGGCTTGTTTGTATTTTACATTGCAATCAGCAGTAAAAAATATGCTCTGGTTAAGACAATCCAGTGACTGAAAAAGAAATATTGAATGACAAGAATGATGGATATTTATGGGATCAGTATGTGTTAAAAACCCATGAGTGAGTAAACACTGATCAACCCCAACCCCAACCCTGATCAATATCTTGGAAAACATGTAACATTTAACTGCATGAGAAACCTGACGGATTGCCGGCCGCAATACGGACCGACACTCGTCTTTGAACGCGTTTTTGTCGGAAATAAAACTGCTAACCTTTGAGCCAAAATGGAAAACTGTCCCCACATGCCGGACCAAAAACAGGCCGGGTCAGTATTTTTGTGTCATTGAAGGAGTCGTACCACCCAGCCTTTAGACTGGTCGAATCTCTGACTTGTCCAGCGTGGGTGTTAGATGGCCCTCTTTTCTCTATGTCTGGTATCATTGTTGAAACAGTACAAGGATCTACAAGTATAATAAAAGAAACTTTGCTCAAATATTCGTTAAATGATTACTAGTACTTAAAGCAAATAACTGACCCTCGAAATCAGGCAAAGAGAAATAATTCGTTTTGTCAGAATTTGTTGTCACATGGTAAACGTTACACGTATTAAACACATGCTAACCATATCTACCAGAACTCATGTTATTTCTGGTATAGCTGTGTATTTGACATTAATAACGGAATTTTTTTTTTTGAATTACACTTTTGGATTTCTGTGTTTACCTCTATTCCACACGACACACTTAAGGGACACTTCATTCCTTCAAGTTGGCGAAATGCAAGACCTCCTCACAGAAGAATCAATATGAAATTTTGGATGGGACATTCAGTCAAGAAGGAAGCATTTCAATTGGCGCCAGTTGTGCTTCCCTTTTGCTGATCGGGTCTTTTTATGCACGTGGATAGGAATATGTGCTCGGATTGGTAGAACACGGGGATTTGGCCAAGAAGATTATCTTAAAGAGCATCTATGTCGATTATCGTTCAATAATGGTCAAATTGCCAAATCTCTTCTACTGATTTACCAAGCTTGGCTCCGTTGCACAAATCGGTATTAGTCCATGCTTTAACACATTTAACGCATTTCCGGCAGTCGTGGAGTTAAGATCACTCTGAGTAACGCGGCCCTAAACTAAAATATACCAATGAAACCCTTTTTGTATATTTATGTCCGTGCATAATGTTTCAGTGACAAAAGCTAGTATCACGACTGTATGACCAGTGCACGACTTCAACATTCCCTTCATATCGAGCAATACTCCAGAAGCTCTTGGCAATTATATTTACATTTGTGATGTATTAGGGCATCCTCTTTCTACGAAACTTTCAATACTCAAGGCCTTATATGAGTTTTCAAACAGGTGTTATGGTAGACATGTAGAGGACATTTCCAAAGCATCACAGACAAATTATGTCAATGCAATTCCGTTTAGACCTGTACGACATGTTTCCCGTCTTTGTTCAAGTCTACAAATAAATTGCCTTTGGATTTGTTTGTGACGGGTGGCACCACTGGGACTTGGTACACTCGCCTTGTCACGTACAGGTCGTATCTTCACTATCTGATGGTGATTCACATAATTACTATGATGTAGTCGGGGATTTCTTATGACTATCTTGTTTTTATTTTCAACAAGGTTGTAATATACATAAGAGCAATTGACTGTTCCATATTTAGTAAAAAACATTGTTTATATTGTTTCTAAAGCTGCAACCCACAAACGTTCAGTTATGTAAAGCGGTCTGTGAATAACCAAAGTAAGGGTCAGGGAAACCAGTGACTGAACGTCCTATGGACGATGGTAATCGATGACATGCCATCAATCAAAGCGCTGACTACAGATTAACCACAAGGCTACCCAATCGCTAACTTAAAGTTTGAGTTAATAGGACGAACAACATATTGTTAATTTTTTTTTTATGATTGACAATACTTGAGAACTTGGTTTGGTTTGGTTTACTGTTTAACGCCGCATTCAGCAATATTCCAGCTATATGACGGCGGTCTGTAAATAATCAAGTCTGGACCAGACAATCCAGTGATTTACATCATGAACATTGATCCACGCAATTGGGATCGATGACATACATCAACCAAGTCAGCGAGCCTGATCACCCGATCCCGTTAGTCGCCTTTTACTGCAAGCATGGGTTGCTGAAGACCTATTCTTCCCCGGGTCTTCATGGGTCACTTGAGTACTTACCGCCATCACACGTACGACCTGTAAATCCTGTCTTACATGCGCATGTGAAACCGTCACGGCCTGCAATACATTTTCCTCTATTTGCACATGGCGTACTCCTACAGTAGTTAGGTGCTGCAAGAAATGAGCAATTCGTGAAGATTGTTATACAGCATACACTATGAAATGATTCTATTCTTCAAAACTAATCCCCTTAGATCAATATCAGATAATACTGATCTGAAGATGTTACTGATCACCCGACTTATGCGATACCTAAGGATTCCGATTGATTAGAGTTTGTTAGAAAACATTGTCTACGTCTACGAGTACTGAATAACGTCGTTTTAAGCGGTTGTTCAACGATATTACGATGTTTCAACTTCATATGAGAAAAAAGACAAAGGTGTCGCAGACCAAAGGATTCAAACCTACAACAATGGCTACCTTGAATGGCTTGGAGATGTTAAGGGTACTGCAAATTGTGCGCCTTTTCGTGTTACCGGCACGTTCATAACTGTAAAGATCTTTGTTATAACAATGCTTCAATAGGGGAGTGGCTTTGTCTTACAGTGAAGCCATTTCGTCACAGATAGAGGGTCAATTGTGTTGGGTTTGTTTGGTGATAGAAACATTAAACGTGGCACAGTTGTAAGTAATTATGTCATTCTGAATATTTTCTGATATGGGGCCACTAAAAAAAGTCCAATATGGCCGCCATGCAGGAATGACCTTATGGGACTTCTCGTATATCTCAGTTAAACATTACCCACAACCTAAATATATAACGAAAAATGAACATTTTGGAACGTATGTACCCATTATTATATCTGTAGAGTAAATAACTTGATCATATTATACTATTTATCTTTATTTGAAAATATGCATTTCTTTCTTCTTCGGCATATCTTTAAGACATACCTCATTAAGGCCAATTAACTATACCAATACTGTATACTCATATGGTGAATACAATGACAAGAACATAATATTTGAAGAACAAAATTTGTTTTTATTGATACATAATGTGAATGGCTAATGGTTTGGTTGGCAAGGGACCGATGTCATGTTGGGTAAATACATTCCAAAATTTTCATTTTTCATAATATATTTAGGTTGTGGGTCAAGTTCACACGAAATGCCGACAACTGTTCCAAGGTTCATGCTTTTATTACAGAGTGCATCCTTTTCACGAAACGGCTGTATTACTAACGCAGCTTCAAACTTTCATGTAGGTGAAACGTTCAGAAAGCGAAATCCGGTATCTTATGTCACAGGGCCACTCATGGGTATTATTTATGTTCTTGATATACAAGTAGATTCATGTCAAAAAACTTATTATCACAATTCTCATAATATCATAATCTCACCAAGGCAGAAGACACTCCGACTAACATTGGTCTTGATCGTGTAGAGTTCAAAAAAATCGAAACACCTCAATGTGTCAACTTCGAATGTGGTGGAACATGTGTCGGTTTCGTTTTGAACACACACCACCGAGACAGTGGTTCCCTTTAGCTCTACAAGAAAACATAAAAAAAACGATGTCATATAGAATGAAGGCAATGCGCTGAAGCGAAGGGGTAAGTAAACATGAAGCTTTGTTCGTTTGTTTGTTGTTTAACGATGCAATCAACAGTATTCCAGTAATATGACGGCGTTCTGGACCAGGCAGTCCAGTGATTTACATCATGAGCATCGATCTACGCAATGAGGATACGAAGATATGCATCAACCAAGTCAGCGAGCCTGACCGCCCGATCATATGACACGCATAGTTGCCTCTTACGGCAAGCAGTGGTTGCAGAAGACTTATCCTCAACCCGGATCTTCACGGGTTGTAAACATAAAGTAAATGGTATATTAGCGTTGCCATGTTTTACCTCAGGCCCTAGTGTATACAAAGTGGAAAAGGTTGTATATGATACTGTTTTGTTTGTTTGTTGTTTAACGCCGCACTCAGCAATATTCCAGCTATATGACGGCGGGTATACTGATACTGCCAACAAAAACTGCATACCGAGTCTTCTTAGACAAATGCCTTAATGTTCGAAATGTGCCAATGTTAACCAAGCAGCGAATGGATATCCAGTAGGGCAAGAATATAAATGGAATGCAAACCCTTTAGTGCCTTAGGTTTGTACCCCCACGGAGATGAGGTTGGAATGAACACTGTTTATGTGAGTAATAATGTAATTCGTTTCAAACATACTTAGTGCGGACTCTTGCACTAGATTAGTTGCTACAATGACCATCATCATCATGATATGGAGAAAACCTTAAGTCATTGAGGTTGAGGACGCTTCCACGTAAGTGAAACCAAAGAGAATGGGTAAGACCAACCGTGTTTTTTTCAAATCGCCAGCTTGTCCTTTCAAAGAAAGAATTTGACTCTGACACAAAACAATCACTATCTTTGCGCTTGAGTTTTTGAAACTTACGTATCCTTTGATATTTATAACATTATAACAATATCAACATCTTGATCAGAACCAGCTAAAATGATATTTTGGGTATTAGCAAAAACAAGAATGTCAAAATCATTCTCATCTTATGGAGTTATCTGTTTCACCTGATAACAATGCTGGTAGGCTGATGGTGAGCCAAAAATCAATACAAATACATGAAGTGTGTATTATACACAAACAAATATATTAAAGATGAAGACAAAAGGGATAAATTTCCTGAAAAGCGTTATGTTAACATTTGTGAAACTAAAGAACATGACGTAGCATTCAAAGTGACATAAGTTTTTAAAAAAGATGTTGGGTGTCAGCTTCATTATTACAAGGAATAACGTTTCAGAGCATATGTTTACTCCCTCATTATAAAATGTATACCTTTTCATCACTGAGGTATTCAATCATGGTAGAAACAAAGAACTGACAGCTTACAGATAACTGCCCAATTTACATCATGAATAATATTTCTCTTCACCTGATTTCAAGATATCAAATGTGTTTAATTTAACGTAAGTCAGAAGCAAAACATAATAAAGCAGAATTTAAAAATACTGACTCACTAATATATTAGATCATTTTCCCCCCATTGCTTCAGCACCGCGCAGTATTATAGTGGATTGTTTTAAATGGCAGAATACGAATCTTGAAGGAGGTTGTATTTAAATCACTTTAATTGGAGTCTTGTAGAAATGTATAGTGACAGTAGAGACAAACACTGTTTTCAGACAAATGAGGGCCGAAACCGTTTTTGGACAAATGTTTGAAGAACAACAATAAACAACACATCACCACCCTCTGACACGAGATCATATTCAAATATACCTTTCCTCCAAATTGGATACTTTCCTCCACAAGAACCTACACCGGGTGGAAAATCCAACATTACACCATAATCATATGCAACCAAGCTCGTTCCAATTTTCTTTGAATCATCCATATCGAGGTCTCCAACATGTGGCCATCGCTTGTGGGTATCTTGTTCCCTGGTAAAATCTGTGCACGTGTTACCTAGAAAACGTGAACAATTAAGCTAATGACATTAAATCCTCAATATAGTAGTTTCAGTAACAAAATTATACAGTAGATTCGGTTTTACCTGGATTAAATTGATAATGGTCATGATATGTTCAATCCAATTTGTTTCCTTATGATTGTTTTAAATAAAACAATAATGTCAAAAATGACAGTAATCTTTGTCTGTAAAAGGCGTATTTTTCAACATCAGATCTTGAAATCCCCAAAGCCACAGTCAGCAATATTCAGCCAATATCATGACGAATAATCAGGACCAAAGAAACCAGGATTTTCGAAATAAAAATATACAATAAAGGCGTTAAATTGTTTGACAGGCATTACTTAGATGTTGACGTATGACCAGGTAGACACAATTTTATGGTTAGCAACTTCTTTAATACTGTAAAAAGGGACGTTTCGGTAAAGATCATTATACCGTTGTCAAGCAAGACTCATACCTTTGTCAAGTCTTGCTTGACAACGGTATAATGATCTATACCGAAACGTCGCATTTTACAGTATTAAAGAAGTTGTTATCCATAAAATTGTGTCCACCTAATAAAGGAGTTGAGTAGAAGGATTGTCAACTGCTATCGCTATCGGCAGCATCACTCTTAACACACATATGAAATTGTTTTTGCGGAATTTATATTTTTTAAATATTATTTTTGGGTATGATCTTTAACATTAAACATTTGCAACCTTGAAAGTATTAATGACGTTGTTTTTTTATTTAACGATCTATCTTCCTTTTCAATTACTTCTTTAATTCTTCTCAAAATAATGAAGAAATAATGTGAATTAAATTTCAAACAAAACACGCTGGTCTTACCACTATGGGCATGGTGCGGAAGAAGGAACAGCAGGAGAGGAAGGACTTGTCTCTTCATTGTCTGCAAGAGATACATTTCACGACCGTCATCTGAACTACTATTCATTTATCTTCTCTATTTTATGACTTTTTAATCATGTGCATGACATGATGCATTTCCATGCATGCCCTAATGTTTGGAATACGTTTTTGAATTGTTGAATTCTATGCGCATAGGCGAAATCACCTATGGGAAATTATATTGGTATGTGCATGTGCTTTGTCTTTATTTGCCAGGTAATAGGAATGTATGCTTATAAAATGAATTATTTCCATGTATTCCTAACGGTGCTGACACATAACGAAACGAATGAATTTAGGTGATCAGTTTTGTACAGGTTTGAAATCATTGGAAATAAATAAGATCAATCCCCAACTGTTTCGATATGGTTTGAAAGCGATGCAAATTGGCAGTAGTAGTTACACATGTTTCAAACGTGATGAAATGGTATTTGGAATGTTTGTCTGTCAGAAATCTGTAGAGTTCCAGGCGTTTGAAATATATTGGACATTTTTCAGTATTATCGATAGTACTAGTGTTTCTGTCGAATGTAACCCGATATCAAACCCAAGTTATTCGTTCATAGTGGCTACTGTGGGAGTATTGGAGCTTTTAATGAGCAACAACTTAGATTTCTTTGTTCTGAGTCATTTTACAACTTTTAAGAGACAGCAGATTATTTATTTTCCTTCTAGTGTTAACTACGACACAATAGCATAACCACTACTTACTTAGACAAATACTCAAGGGTACAACACTTTGGCAATATCGGTTAGTCAAACCTATGAGTTAGTCCTGAATGTTAATCAGTCTGCAGTTTTACAATTGCATCCTTCACTTCCAGAGAAATATCAATAAATATAATATCAATGAGATGTCAAATTTTTCACTGATACATGAAACACCAATGATTGTATAACATTAATATTCCTCTGAAGGTGTCACAAATAATTGTATAACAATGAATATTTATTAACTTTGATGTTATTTATCAATATTTTAAAAAGAAATGCCATCGGCGTGTTGGTCTTCAATTCTGATGCCATGTTCCAGTTTGTGTAGGTTGATCTTAATGTATCTTATATAATAAAATAATATGCACTTTGTGTTGGTAAAAGACATTGGAGACGTAAATCAATATTTGTTATATACCCTATATCTAATATAACAATACATAGATTCCATAACTCAACTCATATGTTCATAAACCAGGTTTATTTTGATAGGGCACATAACTTCTAATTTGTCATGCATAATGACTGCATTAACATGAACGCAGTAGAAAATACATATTAGAACAATTATAAGTATGTATATAGTAAGTGTAATACTTACATTCGAGTTTTGTTTGTAGAGAATTACAGTGTCTGGCAAATGATTCTCATATATATACCAGTTCCCATAAATGAACAAACAACAATGGGATTGTCCCCTTTATGTGTTCTAGGATACTATATGTTCTGTATATTTTAATCCGCAAATGCAGGAAAGATGTCACCTGCTTCAGCGGTCCTTTTTCTGTTGAAACATCCGGAAGATGTACCGCTACATGCATTTTACCAAAATAACCTAGAATCTACGTTTGTAATTCATGAAACATTCACGCATTGAAATTGTCCTTTGGGGTTAAAACAGTTCAACAAAGTAAGCTGAAGAGAAATGAACGTTAATGACATCGACTTCATACAATTACAAGAACTTTATATTTTGTGATCTCGATTCATGTCGTCTAAAACCCAAAATCCTAAAGGGGCACAGAGTTGTCATATTTTATTTATTTTAACAGACAACATGCAATTAGAAATACAATCTTCCCCAATCCGTCTTATCCGTTTTCAGGTGTATTGTAGGATGTTAAATATGCTATACTCAAATTTACATTGTTTCAAATTTTCGCATGCTCAGTTTATTCATGATTTTTCCCTGATTGACATTCTTTAAGGCATAAATGACAAATAAAGCATTTCGTATGTTAGTTCGCATGTTATATTTTTGTAACCAGGTTCTTTCATTTGGTCTTCACTCCCAGGAAGTGGCCCAACAGGATTAATTTCATTATATAGTCATACACGAATATCTTTATTATAAGGCTGACTATGCCATGGATCCATTAAGCTTTCACAATTATGTTGTGACAAAATATGATAAGACAGATGCTTACAGCATAATTTTAGGGGATGGCCGCCGTCATATAGCTGGATTATTGCTAAGTGCGGCATTCAACAACAAACAAACAAACATAGAGGCCTAAATACTTTATGAAAGTTATAGTGCAAGTAAAAGGTTCACATAAATGTGATCTGTTCATAAAAAGTAAACACTTAAAATGTTCGTGTTCACTTGCACTTGCTGTCGTCCAACGGTCCACTGTGGTCATGTTACAAACAAACTACGGGTTTTATCTTCCCCATGGCCACTTGCAATCAAATATCCCTCGTAAATGTACTGAGCATCCTTTGTCCAGCTTAACGAGCTGTGCCTTTGTTAACAGACTCTGCAACGATACCGAGCGCCCGCAGAGATTAAATTAGTTATGTGTCCATTGATTCGTCTTGTATTCCAAACCTATAAGACTAACATCTAGTCTCTGAAATCAACATATCTTCCAGAAACAACATTTGTTAAATTATCTTAATGAAATATTATAAATAGGAGCCCGGAGACTGTGTTAATTTTCAGAGACAAAACAAATCTGCTGAGCTCTGATGTTTTTTTGGAATTTCACGACACGTCACTAACATGCCATTGAAAGCATCTGTGACGGGAACATTTACTGCCCCCAAACATTTCAAACCTAAGCATACATGGAAATGGTCCAAATTGCGGTCCTTCTAATACATAAAACATTTCCGTCCATCCGCCAGCCTCTTTCATAGCGAGTTAAATCAGGGTCTGATGATGTCAGGGCATCATAGGTAGAATGCACAAACTGAAAAAGGGTTAACAGAATTGGAATAAACCCATTTGCCCGAGCCAGATGTCATCAAAAGTCTGGCGGACCCTATGAACATTGTTAAGTTGTTTCCACTGACAAGGCCTGAAATAGCCGTTACATGTAAGCATCGCTACATTACATCTTTGATTAAAGACATTGGTACAAGTTACATATCAAATAATTGCATATCAACTACTATAAGGCCAGGATATTAACTGAGAAAGAAATCTGCCCAAACCATCAATTTTTGACTTGATTCTGGGACCTTAAGACATATGTCTACTCCTGACTCAACCTAGCCACAGGCCAATATTTTTTCCTTCTGAAAAGAAGTTGATAGTTATCATGATGACTTACTTGATGATGACCCATTTGAATCCTCGGTGAAATGTAAGTGAAAGCAGCAAGAACAAGGACCATTTGAGAGCAGGCTTTATGGAAAATTGTGTGGAATATGAAGAACTTAATATTTTATTTGTAAAGGATTTAGCTTTAAACATGTTAAATGATAATATGTAAAGAGTGTGTTTGTATTCTGGAAGAAATAGACAGTTTTTATTATGTTCCTCTTGTGGGACAGTGAGTTGGAAGAAATCAAAATTCTGAGTGAGTAAGTAAGTGGGTTTTTCACCGCTTTTAGCAATATTCCAGCAACATCACAGTGCAGGACACCAGAAATGGGCTTCACACATTGTGCCCATATCAAGAATCAAACCCGGGTCTTCGGCGTGACGATCGATTTAGCTTTAAACATGTTAAATGATAATATGTAAAGAGTGTGTTTGTATTCTGGAAGAAATAGACAGTTTTTATTATGTTCCTCTTGTGGGACAGTGAGTTGGAAGAAATCAAAATTCTGAGTGAGTAAGTGAGTGGGTTTTTCGCCGCTTTAAGCAATATTCCAGCAACATCACAGTGCAGGACACCAGAAATGGGCTTCACACATTGTGCCCATATCAAGAATCAAACCCGGGTCTTCGGCGTGACGATCGAACACTTTAATCACAAAGCTACCCGACCGCCCCAAAAATTCCAAAATGTAAGTTATTACAGAAATTTCGATGTACTAAATTTTAGAATGATGGAATTGTTTACGTAACATAAAATATTTTTTAAGAATAAATCTAAACACAAAATGATTGTTTATTAAAAGCTACAGCAAGACAAGCTGATATCTTGAATAATTCCGCAGAATTCTGGAAATCTAGTAATCATTATAAGTTGAAGATATTTCAGATCGATTGTTTAGCCAGCAATAGTTTGGTTCTTTTTAGAATTTATTTGAACAAATAGTAAAAATGTTTTCTCGGAAAATGATGCCATTAGTATTCTCATGGAATTTATTGATATGTTAGATAAAGAAATTTCTGTGCAGAAAGTTGTAAATAGTATTAAAAATATTCAAATGGTAGATCACCCGCAGCAGGTAGAATTGTTGCGGAGATGAACATCAGAAATTGTGCAAAGACTATTACCAGATTATTTAACCATGGGGTTTAAATTATATCTCCTATCAATAAGAAAGGATCAAAATTTGACCCAGGAAATATTAGAGGAAAATAATCAATAAATATTGTTTTGTAAAGTTTACACTAGTATTTTTAATAATAGATAGAAAACGCATTTTCTCAATATACGAGTGAAGAACAATCAGGATTAAGACACATTGTGACAAGGTCTTCAGTTTAGTTCGATCCTATTTGGGCCATATTCCCAGGACGCAGAACGTCCCGCAGACCAAAACACCAAGAATTTATTAAGTATGTGTACATATTTATAGTATGTATTTTACATCAGAACGCTAGCAATAAACACATAAACGTAGGCTACATTATGCAAATACATTGAAGAAATATTTACAGGCAACACTGTTCAAAGATGTGAAACATTCATGCTTACCATTGCGTGTGTCGTATCTTTCTTTTTCAAGCATATGGTTAAGCTTGATCAACGCCTACTATTTATACTCTTAGCTCGCGGGGGAATTCTGTCACAACTGTATTTTAATTAGAAGAATTTTTGACAGACCACCGAACTCCCACCTCTCCAAATCAATGCGAGAATTGCCGATATCGTGCACGTTTAATAATTTGGCGTATTGTATGTCATGTATTGCACATACTGCCACAGACAATCCTTGACACCTATTGCCTTTGTATGCAATAATAATACATCGTTACAGTTTGGTGACGCTTTGAAGGTCCTTCTCTACACAACTGTCAAATCTAGAATGTTTATTATAACAACGCCTGTACCAAATGGCCCCGAAAGCTCCACAACATGAAACAAACATCCGACAATCTATTCCATATATATAATACAACTGCTGACTCTTCCCTATACAACTGTCAAATCTGAGATCTAAAATTTAATTTACCACCATTCCCTTATCATTTTATCATAACTTTGACAATGAATAAAATAGATAATCTTTGCGCCAAGGAAAACTGTCGAAGGTTAAACAAGTGCAAAAAAGAGCCCTCACATGTTCAAAACTTAATTATGGCTCCATCGTGTTTGGAGGTGCATGCAAATGCAATCGAAAATACTGGATTCTATTCATCATTAAGGACCTTGGAGCCTTCAGAATTTCTCCCATTAACAGTTTTTATGTGGAGGCTGACTAACCATCACTTAAAGTACGAGGAATGAAATTATCTTTGCAGTATATTATCAAATTATCTTTAAATCAATCTAATACAGCATACGACATGGAAGATATACATAATGTGTTTTCAATGTGGAGCTAGGTTATCTGTAGAATTAAATGCGCCAAATTCAATTTCGAAGCTCGCTCAATGTGATACAAAAGATATGACGTCACAGTCGTACACAGGAATGCGCCAAGTCAAGCTCTCTGTTGTCCTCAAAGCTTGAATGAGTGAGTGAGTGAGTTAATATTTAAAATCACATCGGCATTGTTTCAGCCATATCGTGACTTGAGCAAGTTATGCATTTATATAATATCTTAAGACCTGTCGTCGAAGGACAGTATAACAACTAGCAAAATATCACAGATTCTAATTGTAAAACAAGTTTCAGAACAATAAAATAATCAGATTATAACAGACGACACAATATAAAAACGGGCTATAGATCATCAGCAACTGAAGGCAGACCACCATACTGGGGACCATGGCGACTTACAGTACCTTTGCTACCTGCATGGACCCCAGCAGGTTTTACATCATACCCTCAGCAACTGGCTTTTGTTTGCAAAGTTAGCCACAAGTAAAAATACAAATATTCTACGTTTAAAACACGAGTAGCCAGAAATATTCTTTGAATGACATGGACTTACAATATCCTCTCAGGGGGACAATAATTTTACACTACGTCAACCTCCTTTGAGGATATGGCCAGTAACAAACTCAGATATAATTTCGTTCTACTAATTTTTAAAAGGTCAATCATGTTATACAATACATATCATCAACATTTGTTAAACAATTCTATCTCTTTTAAAAACCCAATAACTAAATGAGAATTAATATTATAAAAAAAAATCCTTGAGAGATGATGATTTGAAATATTTATCCCTTGTGATGGAAAAATCAACACAGTCAAGCAAGACATGCTTGACTGTGATTCACTCATCACAAGGGATACACAATGGAGGATCTTCACCTTTCAACAAATATTCGTTAGTGTATCTGCTATGGCCAATACGACATCGTCGTAAAATGACCTCCTCAAATCTGGACTGACAACCCAAGTAGGTGTAACCGATAGTTGGTTTTATTGCATGTAATTTATTTGTACCTACTTGGGTGTCCCACTTCTTTTGCATAAGGACTTTGATATAGCATCTAATTAAAGGTTTGTAGTCGCTGTATGGTATAAGAAGTGGGGTCACAGATTTGTTGAGAGCTGCTTTTGCTGCAGCATCAGCAATAGTGTTACCCGTGATTCCAACATGACTGGGTAACCAGCAATAGACGATGTCGTATTGGCCAGTGGAAAGAGTATTGTGTAATTCTAAAATATCAAGAGTGAGTGGATGATTTGAGCGGACATTTTTTAATGCCTGTAGGCATGACAAAGAATCAGAGAGGATGATGAAGTTTTTGCAGATATTTTGTGTCTAAATATATTCCTAAGCTGTTTGAATAGCCTTGGCCTTAGCAGTAAAGATAGAACAATTGTTTGGTAATCTGGAAGAAATAGTTTTTGATCCAACGATGGTAGCACTGGCAACTTTGCCACCATCCTTGGATCCCTCAGTGAAAATGGAGCGGTGAGAATCGTACTTTGATCTCAACTGGATATATTCTTGCTGAAAGACTAACTGATTTGTGTCTGATTTTTTAAAATTAGTAAGTGTGAGGTCTGCAACGGGATGGACTAGTTGCCAAGGAGGTGTAGACAGTAAGCAGTACGGTGCAACAAAATCAAGGTCAATATTTGCTGCTGTTACATGAGGTTTTATTCTAATCCCTAGTGGGGGAACAAGCTTCGGTTTTGTATGGAATAAGTCCTCATAGGGAGGATTAAATATGCAATCATAGGCTGGATTGGACGGATTTGATTTTAATTTTGTGATATATTGTAAAGCAAGTTTTAAACGGCGTTGTTTTAATGAAGGATCATCAGCCTCCACATAGTGACTGTCAACAGGAGAGGTCCTGAAGGCTCCAGTTTTTGTAAGTTACTTTTACAGGCTCCACCATAAATGATGGAACCATAGTCTAATTTTGAGCGTATCAAAGATCTGTATAAATGGAGAAGGGTTGTCTGATCCCCGCCCCACTTAGAGTTTGAGACGACTTTCAATAAGTCTAATGCCTTGAGATATTTTATATGTGGCAAGAATGTCAGGTGGCGGTCAAAAATAAGCCCCAAGAACTTCCTTTATGGGTGTGTCAGATAGAAATAGTTCTGGGTCCTTGTGCTGTCTATATTTCCTGCAGAAGTGTATACAATTAGTTTTTGTTTTAGAAAATTTAAAGCCGTTAGCAAGCGACCATTTTTGGATTTTATTGAGACACAACTGCAATTGTCTCTCAATAGTGTTCATGTTTTTCCCGCGACAAGAAATGTTAAAATCGTCCACAAATAACGACCCATCAACGGAATCAATCATTCAAAACTTTTGACAGACTGTTTATCTTGATACTAAATAATTTTACAGACAAAATACTGCCTTGTGGGACACCCTGATCCTGAGTATAATGGTCAGACAGGGTTGAACCCACTCGGACTTGCAATTGTCTGTCAGTTAAAAACTGTGATATAAAATGAGGCAAACGGCCTCTCAAACCAAAATCATGTAAATCCTTTAGAATGCCGTGCTTCCAAGTAGTATCATAGGCCTTTTCAAGATCGAAAAAGACTGACACTACATGTTGTTTGTGTACAATAGCATTTTTCACAAAGGAGTCTAAGCGTACTAAATGGTCGATAGTACTTCGATTTTTTCGGAAACCACATTGGATATTTGTAATTAGATTATTGGTTTCCAGATACCAAATTAATCGATTATTCACCATTCGTTCCATGGTTTTACATACGCAGCTTGTTAAGGATATAGGTCTAAAGTTAGAGGGATCTGTATGATCCCGGCCAGGCTTTGGTATTGGAACTACAATGGCATTATGCCATGAAGGAGGAAAATTCCCAGATATCCATATTTGATCAAATATATCTAAAAGTTTCTCCAGACAGGATTCAGGTAAATGTTTTAAAAGCTGATAATGTATGTTGTCGGCTCCCGTTGCTGTGTCATGAGCTTGCTCAAGGGCGGTGTGTAGCTCATGTAATGAGAAGACTTCATAATAGTCTTCACCATTATCAGAAGTGAAATTTACTTTGATCTTTTCCTGTTGTTTCTTTATTTTTTGAAACTCCGGGACATAATTTGATGTTGAAGAATGTTTTGCTAACGTTTCTCCAAGCTTATTTGCAATGTCAGCTTTATCCGTTAATAACGTGTCATCATCCTTAAGATGATGAACAGAAGATTTTGAGCCTTTGCCTTTTATTTTCTGAACCATGTTCCACACCTTTGACATGGGTGTACGGGAATTTATCTTGGAGCCATAGTTCCTCCAAGATTGCTGCTTGTTTTGTTTAAAAGAACGTCGTGCCTTGGCATTTGTAATTTTAACCCTATCCAAATTATGGACTGTAGGATGTCGGCGAAAATATTTTTCTGCTTTCTTCCTACACTTTCTGGCCTGTTTGCAGTCATTAGTAAACCATGGTTTACGAATATGGGGATTCGCAGAGGACCTAGGAATGGTTTGGTCAGCAATGTCATTCAGTAAATCCGAAAACAACTGTATCGGATCTGGAATATTCTGGAAAATATCATGTCTTATTTTGTCAGTACACAGTACCTCATATAAGGACCAATTAGCCTTGGTAAAGTTCCACCTGCATGATGGTGGTTCATCAGTAGGATTAACAGTTTTAAGTATAGTGGGAAAATGATCACTCCCGCAGAGGTCATCATGGACTGACCATGCAAATTCATTATACAAGTTTGAGTCTGTGAGTGACAGATCGAGGGCAGAATACGAACCAGTGTCTGGATGTAAATATGTGGCAGAATCATCATTAAATATACACAGGTTGTTGTCAGAAATAAATTCCTCAATTTTTCCTTTAGAACTTGTATTTGCACTTCCCCAAAGCGGGTTGTGTCCGTTAAGATCACCCATGATGATGCAGGGCTTTGGGAGCTGGTCATACAGACTTTGAAGATCAGACTGTCGAAGATCAGAAGAAGGAGGTATATACAAAGAGCACAGCGTAAAAGCAATGTGCAGAGTCAGACGAACAGCAACAGTTTGAAGATTGGTATTAAGAGGGACAGGACTATGTATTATCCCCTGTCGCACAAAGATAGTAGAGCCTCCCATTGCTTTATCTCCTGGAGGAGAAAATGAATGATAGTCATTGTACTGTCGTAAGGTGAACTG